TATTGTTTTGCTGATGGGGTGATAAACACTTATCAACTCCCTGCTGGCTTGCTTGCCTGTCAGTTTGCTGCAGACAGTATAAGGAAGCAGGAGGGGGAGATTGAAAAGCTCTGTATCATCAACAGATGCAAGGTGGGTGTGTGCAGTGCATGCATCAGAGTGCTAGCAGGGGGCTGGATGTGGCAACACTCCCACCCTTTGAGCAGCCAGCGGGGAAAAGCCTGGGATGGTGCAGGCAGACCTGCCTAATCAGAACGTCCTGCCAGGGCCTAGCCACATCCCCCTCGGCTCGGTACTATATAAGCGAAAGGAGGGCTGCTCTAAGCACCCCCGCTTCTAGCCTGAGCCACTGCCGGCATGTGCTGGCATTCCCTCAATCCAGAGACAATGTCTGTCCAGTTACAAACCAGTTAAGCCTAGCCAGGTTAGACTAACCTGCAAAGATTGAATCCATTCAGGCTCAGGCTTTTTGAATGTCTGTCCCTAGCCTTCCAGTTGTATGTCTAAAACAATTAAGATTTTTCTGAACTTCTATGGGGTATTTTATTCTCAGACTCCACTGGCATTTATACCAATATCAGACCTTCTAAAAATACTGTTATATGTTTGTTTTAGAGATGACATATGTTTTAAAATGAAATAAATTAAAGTGAAACCCCAGCACTTCTATCCCTAATAAAGATGGACCTCCACAGACTGCTGTGGACTGGCAATCATAGTTTTGCTGGGCTTTGTGGGATCCTCTGAATCTTGCTGTCCAGAAAATGGAGACATCAATATTACTCTGTACTTCTGAAACTCAAGATTTTTTTACTGATGTTATCAAATGACATCCCTGAATGGTATAGAACTAGTTTTTAAAAACTAAGTTCACAGAGAAAAAAAAATAACATGAAGTGAAGCAAAGAACCTAATTTTGGACACCTCAGTTGAGTGCTCAGACATATGCATACATGGCTAGATTCTCCAAACCAGGGCAGATTTTCAAGCACTCAGGACTTCCAATCCAGGTCAGGGTGAAAAGACTTCAGCTCCCATTTAATCATTGGAACAAGAGCTAGAAATCCCAAAAGGTTCACACTCACTAGGTTCCAGTGTGACACTTATGCAAGAAATGGACAGCACAAAACATGAGTTTAATAGGCCCAGTTTATGTCAGAATCTCTTCCTAAGAGCTTGAATTGCAGAGATGCTGAGCCCTATGCTACCACCTGAAGTGAATTGGTGCTCATCCCATCTGAAAATTGCCCTCTCTCATGGAGAGAAGAGAGAGGTCTTGGTCCATAATTCTCCTATCTTAACTCCTGAACAACAAGGCCTCCTGGAGAGGATGAGGGAAAAGCAGTTCTCAGGGCTGGGAAGATACAGAAGTAGGAAAGAACAGCACCAGCAGTAGTAATAGCTCCTACTGATTGTGGTGTGAACAGCACAGTCTATACAACCAGGGAAGGAGATCAGCAAATTGATCTATCTAAAGTCACCAATCCCATTACCATAGTGTTTAACTGGGATGGCCAGTTTGCAAAAGGATTCCCATTGCTGCTGGAGAGCATGTGCCTACCACAGACAAACAGCCTGTCAGTGCAACTCAGCACCTCAATCAGAGGGAGCCCAAGCCATTGCAGATGCAGGGCAGGCACAGGTTCCTTCCAGCTCATGATTTATGTAGGGACTCCATCCTACTCTCAAAAATTGTAATGGGAGCAGGGCTGGCAGTTGTATACTGTATTTTCTAACAACCAACTCACACTTGAATAAAAATATGCACCATTTTTGAAAGGCAAAATATTTTTTTTAATTATTATTTATTTATTTATTTATTTTTTTGTTTAAAAGATCTTATCTTGAGAATATTGGTAAGTAGCAGTAAGTAACTGAGTAGCAGCTTCTGCAGCAAAGCCTCTGCTGGGGGAAAGAGAAAATGTCTACAACCAGCAGCAAGGCAACCTCACCGGCAGTACTGTAGTGTTACTTTTTCTCCCTCCCCTTTCTTCCCTCTTACCTCCCACCATCCCCAGTAGAGGCAGAAACTACTATTACTATATTTCCTCACTTATAATGTGCACCCAATTACAAGCAGCCAAATTATGGAAAAAAGTGTGTATTGTATGTGAGAACATATGGTGTATAAACTATAGGTTCCTCACAGACATGAAAAAACAAAAACAAAAAAAGGCACATTACCAGAACAGGCAGCACATTATTTGGACCTGGCTCCACAACATCTCTCTAGATTGGGCACTTCAGCAGAGCTTTTGGCACTTTTATCTAAAGCTGATTCAATTGGCTATTAGATAAAAGTGCCAAACAGCTCTGCTGAAGCACTTGATCTATACAGATGTTGGGTGAGCTGGGTCAAACTAACGTGATACCTCTTCTGGGCATGTGCTGCACTCGGTGTGGGGGCACACCAAGTTTAAAGTAAAGCGCTGTTTTGGGGATTTTTTTTTTTTACTATCTGTAAGTACTCATAAAGCTCATGCCTTGTGTTGCTTCACTTACTTTGGCTGACTTGCACTAGGGAGGAATTAAATCCCTGATCTGCAAGTAGATATGCTAAGTCACTAGTGAGCAGTAAGAATGAGATCCATTCAACTTTAAAATCAACTTATATACAGTATACAAGCTATATGCGGTCTCTGCAGTCATCTCAGTTCTGGAAGATTTAAAAATGACATCAATATTTCTATCTTCAGTGTATCTACTATTGTTACAAATAACCCTAAGACTCCATTAAAGAAATCAGAGGGAACAAAGTCTTCTTTTTGTTACCTTTCTGTATGTGAAAGCCCTTTGTGCCCAGGCAGACAGTGTCCCTTTCCTATCTTGCCTGGGTAGGTCTTTTACACCACCACACCATGAAAAAATATATCTTAGAAGATGGGGGAAAATGTACACCCATTAACGTGGCTTCTCAATCACGTGTGTGTACACGTCAGTAACTGTTCCCAGGTAGAAACTGACTAGATTTCAGGTGAACAGTGATCCTTTAATATAGTTTGGGAACTAACCCATATCCATTTACTCCCTAAGAAAGCTCAGCTTTATTTGCTTCATGTATCATGTGTTTTCTGAAACAGTATCTACAAAGTATTTGTGTGTTCCAGCACTCTGCCTATATGAGACAGATCATAGCCCCAGTCGTTCATACTCCCCCCCCCCTCCCCACATGTATGCATTTCATTCTTCCATATACTATTATTAGGAAAAAGAATGATAATCCTACCAATCAGCATTAGAGGTGAACACAGGCAAAACCTTAAATCTCAACTCTGGGGAAACTTGGATTCAAATCCACTACTCATAACGGGACACTATCTGAATAAGTGGTAGAACTAAAATGTTGGGTCTGGACACATTCAAACTGTGGGGAATTGGGATCTGGATCTAGACCCAAACTCCACAGTCCTGGCTACTGTTGTCAATCATAATCATCATCATCACCCCTTTAGGACAAAACTCAGCACCTTTCTTCAGTTCTTTCTCAGTTCTGTTTTTCTGCCTGCTTGTTCTTTCTGCATTATTTATTTATTTATTTATTTATTCTACCTTGGATTCCAGTTTTTTCGTTCCCCTACTCCTTTACAGTGTGACTTGGAACATTTTGCACTCTGCCACTATTGCTTCTCAGTTGCATCCTTTACAAACAAGGTTAGAGGCTTTGGAGCACTGGACATCAATAAATTACAGTGTTTCTTTTATTACTGGTGTTGGCCGTGACTGAAGAAGTATGAGACTTGGTAAATGAGCAGTTGTGAGGGGTAGGGAAGAGCTCTACATAGTTGAGGAATCTAGCATGGCACCCAAACCCAAGCAGAGAGAGAGAGGAGATTCCTTTGCTTAGTGAAGTTGTTTGGAGCAGGCCAGGGATACCCAGTGGTTAAGTGGAAAGTAACCAAAATGGAAAGGCAGGCATCTGTCAAGCTCCCCAAAACAGGCTGCTTAATGGAGAGACCCTCTCCATTAATGAGTAGCAGGTGCCAAAGTTGCCTTGAGAAGTTTCAGCTCTGTTTCCCTTAGGGACCTGTTAACCAGCAGGTTGTGTCTGACACTAGGATGTATGGGGCAAAATCATGCAAAGCACTCAGCACTCTGAGCTCTCTCTAGCTAAAAGCAAACTCTTTTATATAACTCTTAAGTGCTTGAGATGCTCCTTCTAGGCTGACAGGAACAATTTATGACTTTAAAATTTAACATGTGCTTAAGTATTGGACCTAGAACTGAATGCAGCAGAACTCCAGTAAAATAAATAGTGTGAGATCATGTAATTACACAGCATCTCATAATTCATGCGCATAAGAGTTGAATTAGGGATACACTAATAACATATATTAGTGTTAATATTCCCTAACTATTGAGCGCTCAACTTTGTAATCCTGGAGTGTCTGTGTGGGCAGAAATGAGGACTGTATTTCTGTGTCATGGTCTCTGTTACAAGAACACACACGTATGCAATACTTCTAGCTTCCTAACAAACTTTCCCCACAAACAGAGAACAAACTAAACCTCACTAAATACATTTCCTTCCAGACTTC